TGTCACAGGTTGTTCTGTTGTAAAGACATACTTCTAAAACAAGGAATGCTACTGCTGATGAGTAGCCTTTCTTGAAGAGGCATTTTGTAGTTTGGAAAACAAACCTACTGCTATCTCTGTTTAGACCTAAGATCTGAGTTCCAAAAGCAGTTACTTTTTGTGACAAAAGGATGCATCTGTAAGTTAGAGAAAGCCTGCTTATATGTGTATGCATATATGTGTGTAAACATTTACTGTATCAGGACTTTATATTGTAAACGTTTTGGGTCAGTGACTTCCTCATTATACATATGAACAATGCCCAGAACAATTGACCCTGAAACTACTTGGGATTTCCGGGCAATACTATAATACAAATGATCATTCTAAGGAAGCGGTTCTCAAACTATGGGTTAAGACTCTAAAGTGGGGGGTCAATCCCATTGTATTGGGGATATTGCCAGTAATAGAAATAAACTTGCTGAAGCCAGAACCACCTGCAAGTTTGGGTTTTGGCTTTGGCTCCTTTGCCCAGGGTGGCTGTGTTCAGGCAGACTCAGGCTTTGGTTCCCCTCTGAGATCATATAGTCATTTTTGTCTGAAGGGCGGTCACAATGTATTGAAGTTTGAGAACCCTGTTCTAAGGAGAAAAATCAAATTCTGCTATGGATGTTCACAAAAGAACACCATGGAGGGACACCTTGGCCAAAGAAGTTCAAGAAATTTTCTAAAAAAAGAATATTTATTTATTGATGATATTTATTTAAAAAACAAAAAAGTGATGATTTTAAAGAAATTTAATAATAAAATATTGTTTACAGCAAGGAAACTCTACTGAAGCCAAGTTTGTTGTTGTTGACGTATCCCTTTTTCAAATGTAATATTAATCAGGGACCCCATCTGAGAAACTTATTGACAAAAGTATAGGTGTATTTTATATAAACATAGATAATCACTGAGATGGGTGTGACTACACCTTACTGCAAAATTGGTCTATTCTTGTTTTTGATGATTGACAAGAAAACTTGTAAATCATTCTCCACTTCCAGTCAGGACCAGAACTTTGTCTTTATAGCTGTCAAAGCGGAGAACGATGCTTCTCTCACATACACGTTGCTAGGAATAACACTTTCTAGGAATAACTGTTGCTAGGTAATAACACTTTCATTGCTTCTGTAACTAAAATTGGATATTATGAAGCAACAGTTGGCCAAAACTGGCAAGATATCTGTTTCTGAAGCTTAATTTTCAGTGTGCAGTCACAGAATAGTTTGAACAGCCCCCGTTCTGCTTTTCTATCAGTTTTGGAAACATACCTGAGATTCCAAATCTCTAGTTTTCCAAATCTCTAGTTTTACTCAAAAGCTGCAGTTCTGTCATTCACCTGAAGTATGCTTGTATTTCCCCTTTATGTGGACAGGTTTAGTGCATTTAAAAAGTTAAAAATGTCTGAAGAGTGCGTCATGATCCATACTGTGCCAGAAAAGTTTGCAGTAATCTTGGGATCATGCACAGAAAGAAAACCTTCCAGTTCTTCATGCAGTTCAAAAACTTTTCCCAACATGGTTCTGCGAGATAACCATCACACTTCTGTATGAAACAATGATTTGTCATATCCTACACCCATTTCTAAACATAACTCTGCAAAGAGGCATGAATACAAAGGCTAGGAGTTTACAGAATTCTCAACTGTTACAGCTGCGTTTAGCACCTCATGTAATTTGGGTTTCATCATCTTTGATGCAATAGTCCAGTGATGCAACATGCAGTTGTTACAATTACCCAGGGGTTTATGGCTCATAGTCTTGCAACAACTACACTCTTATCACCTGCCATAGTGGCGCCTCCATCCATGGAAACAACAACATACTTGTCCCAATTCAGTAATTCAGCTTTCATTAACTAGCCAATAATTTGAATATTTTTCTGACCTGTTGTCCATTCTGGTAATTCTTGCCAAAAAAAGAAAATCTTCCAATCAAGCCTAATGTACAAAAACTAATAATTGTGTTGCAATACCAACATCAATTTTCTTATGAAGCTGAATTGCAAACTCTCTGTTAGTTGGCATTTTACACAATTTTGAAAGCTCTTCAATTCTCCTCCTAATTGCATTGTTATAAAGCTGTACGGCCTTAGGTTTTGCCACTGCATCTTTGATTACTGTCATTTTGCACATTTCTACAACTACAGTATCTGGAAGAATTAGCTCTTCTCCAGTAGTATTGGATTTTTACTCTGCAATCCAAAGCACTGTTAAGAAAGATGTTTCCAGAATCTTTTCCGGAACCAATGTTATTTTTGTCATTTGAGTTTTCTGTCAATAGTAATCTTTCTGTTGTTGTCTCTGAATTTATCTTTATACTCTAGGTGCCTTGTTGTGTAATGTTGTTTCAGATTACAAACCTTTGGTTGATGAATGTGGAGTTTTTCTTTAATCCTTTCCTAATCAATATGAACAGTACAATATTTTGTTTTTATGTCTTACAGTACCTTTTGATTGGTTAATGGTAGAGCAAGCACTCCACTTGTGTTCTTGCCTGTTGTGTTCAGGTCAAAAGCCTTGCTAATTACTGTATTTGTGATTTTACGAGATACATCTTAATAATCCTGTGGTTCCCCATAAATAAGACTGCAAGTCTGTCACTGAGGTCATGGATTCCATTTCTGATCCAGGGGCCATTGGAGCCACTCAGGCAGCCCTGAGCGAGCTGCACAGGCAACTGTTGGGACAGTCTCAGGCCCTTGCGCCCCTGTCCCCTCCCAAGCAGCAGCAGTGGTCTTAGGCCACTTGCTTACAGGAGGATCCTCTGCAACACTCCCATGCCACATCTACCTGAGAGCACCCACAATTTAATCAGGTTATATAGCATAGGTCATGGACATGTTATGGAATGTCATGGCCTGTGAATTTTTTTTACAGCCATGACCTTTCCATGACTTTCGCTAAAACAGTGGTCCCCAACGTGGTGCCCGCGGGCGCCATGGCGCCCGCCGGGGCATTTGTGTGCGCCCGCTGACAACCTGGGCCGGCCCGGCGCATGGCACACTGGAGGTTCAGGTTATATAGCATAGGTCATGGACATGTTATGGAATGTCATGGCCTGTGAATTTTTTTTACAGCCATGACCTTTCCATGACTTTCGCTAAAACAGTGGTCCCCAACGTGGTGCCCGCGGGCGCCATGGCGCCCGCCGGGGCATTTGTGTGCGCCCGCTGACAACCTGGGCCGGCCCGGCGCATGGCACACTGGAGGTGCCGGCCCCAGGTGCACGACACGCACCGGCGCCTGGTGCACGGCGCTCGGGCAGCCC